GAATTATTTTTCTGGAATAGAAGCAGCTAGTTTAAGTATGTAAATTACAGTGTGGGTAAAGGTAAAGATTCCCCTCGCACATATGTGCTAGTCATTCTCGACTCTAGGGGGCAGTGCTCATCTCTGTTTCAAAGCTGAAAAGCCAGCGCTATCTGAAGATGTCTCCGTGGTCATGTGGCCGGAATGGCTAAACACCGAAGGCACACGGAACGCTGTTACCTTCCCACTAAAGATGGTTCCTATTTTTCTACTTGCATTTTTACATGCTTTCGAACTGCTAGGTTGGCGGAAGTTGAAACAAGTAACTGTAGCTTACTCCATTACGCTGTGTTAGGGATTCAAACTACCAAACTGCCAACCTTTCTGATCAACAAGTTCAGCATCCCTTTGCATGTATGGAGGGAATATCAAAAACTCACAATGCCCTTCTAGATCCTTATGACTCTGATATTATTGGAAATAAAGTCCTTACTCCTTAGTGGAACATATTTTGTTTAGGGTTGACAATTTTTTAGTCAGGAACGTTGATCTATACTTCCTCTTGAGGCAGAAACATCCCCAGTTTATAAATTTTTCCATGATACACATTTCCAGAGTCTAGACCTTCTTATTTTCATGTAATATGCCATTGGAAATAACATTAGCTAGATTTTTAACATTCAGCCCAAATAGTTTTTGATTATGTGAATTGGTATTAAATATATAGTATTTTCATATTTATTGCAAATACGTATAGGTATAAGAAGCATTGTAATATGTCATACAAATTTTACAGTATATTCACAGGTTTACCAATTTCCCAAGTGGTCAAAAGTCCAAAATATGGACTATTTGGATTTATTTCTTTTGGAAAAGAAATATATTTATACATATAAATAGAGCATAAATAAATCAAGTAGGATAACCAGTTCTAAATTAGTTTTCTAGAAGATATATATTCTATGAAAATATGCTTTTAGCCTTCAACTAATTCTCTGCTAGTTTGAAGATTTTGTTGCTATAATATATATCAGGTGTTATTGATAGAAAGCCAGAAAGACAGGCAGAAGGCTATTTTATTGCTAACTTTTTGACCTCATAGACAAGATGCCCTTGTGTCTTAATGGCTATTCACACCCCAGAGAACGCTGTTTCAATAAATTATCTGTTACCAAGTAGAAACCATAGAATAAATCTACTACTGTGCTGACCATTCTCCGCCTTTAAGAAATTCACAAGACAAAATCCATTGTTGTAATATGTTTTTCCCATAAAACTCTGTGTCAACAAAATTACATTTTTTTAAATTTCAAGGCTGGCTACAAAAAAATTAAAAGCATAGCTGCATTTATGTATAGATCATTAAACCAAGATTTTCTACTCTAAGGTTTACTAAACAAGACCAGTTCAACACAATGCTGAACTAGATGGAAACAGCCTGTATAATGGCTTAGCGTTATATACAGTCCAAATATTACGTATCCTTTGATTGCAGATCTTATGATCCATACGTGATATGGATTTGCTATAGAAGAGAGAAAGAATGATTCACCAGTAGGCCTATCCTGCCAATCACATATTTTCCTAAAGAATGTATCAAGAGACCTCTGAATGGGCCATAGGTTTATTTAGTCTAGCACTATGTTCCACCCAACTCCACCTTTTGCGCTGTATAAATCACTCGCAGCGTCATGTTGTTGTCAATGTGACATAAATAGTTCCTTTTATCAGTCTTCAATATTATTGCAATTAGTTTCATGGGTCTGTCCATGTTCTAATAGCTCCTCCTTTTTACAGCATATAATTTTATAGACTACAGTTTTCTTACTTGCGTCAATCCCAAATAAAAAGCCCCAGTTATTGTCATCCTTTCATAGTCTGTATTTAATAATTCTCACAGAATTTGATTCTCAGCTGATGTCAGGGTAGTTGTGAACCCTGGATCATGGCCATCTGGTTTGCCAATATTTCATCCTTAAGCCCAGCTGCCCATGGCTGTACTGAGTGGGAAATCCCAAAATACCAGCAGAGTTAGGTTGGGGAATGCTAATGAAGACAATAACAAACTAGATAAATTTAGCCAGCTGACTTTGGCCTTCTTTTGAGGCCATTTTTCGCCCTCCGGAGGGTGAAAAACGGACCTATGGACAAACTGGAAGTCACAATTCTCGAACTTCCAGTTTCCCTGTAAGTCTGTTTTTTGCCCTCCAGAAGGGGAGGCCTAGGGAGGGCCAAAAGCATGAGGTGTGTGTTTGCTGGTCACGGGTGCATGTGTGTGCACGGGGGGGTCACACATATAGCATTATGGGTGTCACAACCCCCCTGCCCTCCCGCCGCTTTTGGCACGGAAGCCAAAAAAGGTTAGCCATCACTGATATGTAGATTCACTTTATTGAAAAGAGACATTGAATAGAATTAGAGATCGCTGTAGGTTCAGGTAGTTCTGAGACAATAGGTGTGTGGTTGCCTTGTCATTGCCATTGTCTTGTTTCTTGCAGTGCCAGAGCCGGGACAGGACACGTCATTCCCTTTCAAGTAGATGAACCAACTGCAAAAAGCATCTACAGAGATGAATTCTGCTGGAAGCCATATTCCAAGGCAGAGCCTATAACGAATGGCTTTATGACAGTAAAGGACAGGAACAATCCTCAGCCTGGAGATGTAGGGTTCAAGTTATTGCTATTTCAAGAATATGTCTTACTTCTCTTCTTATTTTAATTTTTTGATGATTTTGGATATATGATAACTTGGTTTTGAAATCATTGTTCAAAGATGATATTGTGGGAAAGGAAAGGTTTAGTTATAAGAAATACTTACCGTATTTTTTCGGAGTAAGACGCACCAGGGTTTTGAAGAGGCAAATTAAAAAAAAAGTTTTTGCACTCTGCAAACCTCTCAAAAACGGGCCATTTTTCGCAAAAACGGGCCCGTTTTTTTTTCCAGCCTTGCAGAGTGCTCGGGGGG